GCACGAACTTGTCAGCTAGATCATCCCAAGAAGTGATGGACAATGAGGGCTGGGTCTCCAACCACCTCTTAGCATTCCTCGCCAGAGAATGGGGGAAGAGGTGAAGGCAGATTGCGTCATCAGGGACACCGTTCAGCTTGAACCCGTTCGTCAGCTGCAGAAAACGGGAAAGATGCACCCTTCCCTCCTCATCCTTCAAGCCATGGAACTGGATAGATGATGTAATAAGTTGAATCCAGCATGGCTTGATCTCGAAGTTGTTCGCTGGAATAGGCGGGTAGAGGATGACCGGGCAGATGTCAGCAATCCGTGGAGTGTAGTAGTACTCCAAGGTGGGACCCGGCGGCGGTGGATGATGATGAACCCTATTTTCCGGGGTTATGGGGTTGTTCCCCAAGACCTAATTCACTGGGGGAACCTGGTGAGGATTCCCCTGGTGTGGATTGTAATCTCCTTCCATCTCGTACTCTTCCTCAGAATCGCTGCTCAAGTGGCCGTCTATGCGCTCCTCCGTAGCCAGTCTAGCTCGCTGTTGTCTCCTAAGTTGGCGACAGGTGCATTCAATCTCCGGATTCAACGGCAGTAAACCTACCGACTGGCTACGGGTCATGCACTACCTGCACACAATCAAGCAAGCAAACCCGTGAAGGCACAAGTGGGAAAGAACAAACAGTCAATGCGAAAATGAAAATGCTAAAGTAACAGAAATCACGTTTCTTCAACAACCTAGCCGTTCCCGGCAACGGTGCCAAAAACTTGACTCACTCCTACTGTCACTCTAGAAAATGGCCAAGTGAAACCACTTCCTAATGCGTAGTATAGCGGGTTTGGGTTTTAATGTCAACCCGGGTCCTAGATGTGATGACTACTCAGTGAATTCTTATTATCTAGCGGTAAAACTTAAGTGCAGGTTCAAACAAACAAAAACACAAAGCAAGTTAAAAGGTTGTTTCAAGTCGAGAGAGGTCACCCGGATATGGTTCCCCCTAGACTGCAGTTAAGCCGGATTGCAATTACCAAGTTCAGTTTCTTTGAAAGTTATACTGCGGAAGGTTCTTAAACAGTCTGAAGTCTCGACTAAAGGTCTCCAGACCCTCTCAATCTGAGTCTCTAGCGGGCGACTAACCTCCACCAGAGTAAACAGATTGAGGCCCTAACGAACAAAACCTCCTCTACCGAAGTAACTTCGGTACAGAATAGTGAACGGCTCCTCGACTAAAGTCGCCAATTCACTACCTTCAATTAAGGGTGCTCTATCAACCTAGGCAGATATTCTCTTTCTAGGTTAAAGCAGAAACAACAGGAATTTGATCAGGATTCATGCCATTCAATCATTCAAACCTCAATTGAATATAATCAAATCATAGAATCTGTACTTGGGTTCATACAATCAGACATAACATACAAATCTAGGGTTCTCCATACCCAGATGAATGAGAGAACTACTCCATGGAGAAAGAAGCAAAAGCAGATTCAGATGCGGAAACCATACTATGAAGGATGGATTTCTACTCCTAGTTGTCGATCGACACTTCTCCAAGTTCAAGCCGGGCTCCAATGGTGATGAAGATCAAGCTAGGGCACTTGGGAACTCTTGTTCGTCGCTTTCTCTCTCTAGGAATCGCCCTCTCTCTAAAACTCGGATCTCCCTTCTCCTTTGCTGAAAATTGGCTTAAAACCAGAAATCCCGACTCACACGGCCAGGCCATACGGACGTGTAACTTCCCCAGCTGCCCGTGTGGCTTTGCAAAACGCGGCGTTTCGTTTAGTGACTTCAGGCTTCCTACGCGGCCACGACCCACACGGCCGTGTGAGTGTCCAGGCTGCCCGTGTGGCTTTTGCCGAGCCTTCACATGGCCACAGAGGGTCTCCCACACGGTCGTGTGGCTTTTGGGCATGCCCGTGTGGCTTCTCAGCTTCTCGCCAAGCGTCCAAACTTCGTCCAATCGACCCCGAACTCGTTCCTAAACTTTCATTCACGTACTAGGACCTGAAATATCACAAACAAGAACAACCTAGCGTGAAATCGGCCTAAAACATGGGAATCGACATCTCAAACGGCTCAAGAATAGGGGTAAAAACATGTGTAATCAATGGTCTATCACCAACACAGTCGTGGTATTCCATTTTGGCCACCCTAGAGCTCCTCGTAGAACTCGTTCATATAACACATTCCTTAGTTAGTGAACGTGCTAATCCACCCAATTGGCCTTGACTAAACCACCTAAAGCAATCACCAAATTCAATTGATCATCACCTCCACTTCCACGTATAGGTTTCCCATCAATTCCTCTAGTCATATTACTTTAGCCCACTCCCTGATTCCTTGGAATATATTTACCCAAAATTGGTCATTAACCATGTAAGCTACTCACCGCCCATGCAAACCATATATCAACAATCCCCCTTCACAGAACCAACACTCCAGGACAAGACCTGAAGTAACTCATCTCCCTACCCCTCAAAGAATTAACCAAGCGATCAGTTACAAAATTTAATATTCATAGCGAGATACTCACCCAGTTGTGTCCAAGATTTCCATTCCTTGATGCTGAACGGCTGCAATTCCGTTCCGAGCAGCGGACAACTCTACACTAAACCAAACCAACAAACATCTGCTACGAGCACATCAACCCCACCATGAACTACCTTGCAGACACTCACCATGATTAGAAGATTTTGTAACTGGTATCGCCGCCACCTGATGCTTCTCACATCGTCACCTTGATTGGACCCGCCTCGCAGCAGGTTCCTATCATCTATCACGAGACAATCTCTCTTTCTCTAGTTCTATAGTCTATGTCGTTCTCTTCGACGCGGTGATGAAGAATTTGATGATGGTGTTGCGATTGAGGGATGGGCGTTTTGGAGTTTGCGGCACTGCTGCGGTGTGAGATACGTAATTGGGGTCTTTCTAGGCTTTTCCCGCAGCTAGTGATAGGATCCGAGTCAGGGTTTAGTTTAGGTTAATTATGAGTTTGGGGTGTAATTTGGGGTTAGATGGAATAGTAACAGGTGGGGGAAGTAACGGGTGAGGAAAAACCCCCTTTTATAATAATAATAATAATAATAATAATAATAATAATATTATTATTATTATTATTTCTAATTCACTATCATAATCCTTTGTACATAATCCTCGTCAATTCAACCGTTCATTTAGTATGGTCGAACCTGAACCCAAATATCGGGGGTGTAACACATCTCTCTCCCGTCGCCCTCCTCTACCCACTACAAAAAAGGACCTATGCCAAGGGTTATTTTCATTTGTACAGGATATAACAAGGGTTTGAGCAACCCTTGGATGGACCCTTGGCAAAGCTGCCCCTGCTACATATAGCAAGGGTTTTGGACGATCCTTGGTGCATGTCCCCTGTAACGGTTATAGCAAGGGTTTAACCCCTTGCTACATGTCTGTAAAATTTAAGCCATAGATTCTGGTAGCAAGGGTTCAAATCCTTGGAAAATTCATTCCTACAACTAGCAAGGGTTCAAACCCTTGCTACTGTGTAAAAATATGTAAAGAGACGTTTGTAACATGGGTTGTAACCCTTGGGAAATTTGTTGCTTAAATTAGCAAGGGTCAAAACCCTTGCTAAATAAGATTATAACGGATAGGCTTGCAAGAGTCTAAACCCTTGCATAATCTGTGACTAAAGCATGACAATATTTTGTGTCCAAACCCAAACCGTCGCTAAAAAGTTTGTTAGTAAAATTCATAACATAATACAATACCTTTCATAACCTGAATCATAACATGATACGAAGCATCATCCAAAATGGTGTTTACATGGCTAAATACTAATCACTATAAACATTCAAACATAACCGACGTAACAATAGTGCTTTCGTGATGTTCCAAGTACTCAAAAGAACCCTATTCAAAGCTACATGAGAAGTTCATGATCCAAAATCCTTCATATAAGAAATGGAACAGCCAAATACATTACAATTCCTGAAAAGAGTAGCTATCTTGACAGGTTGAATGACAAACTCTTCGATGCATTCTGCTACACAACAGGCATCATCGACAACTACATGCTGCAACCTGAAGAGCAAACGCAAGAAAGGGTGAGAAATTTCCAACCACATCTTACAACTAACTGACACATCGGCAGTCCTAGGTTCTTATGCGACAATGAAATTAAGAAGGAGAAAGATCACACCTGAGCATCAATCTGGAGAGTAGAGAACTCTGTAAAGCCGGTCGGTTTAATTGGGGCCTTGCATACCAGGGATGAGGGATACAATCTGATTTAAAATGAAACAAGTAACTTGTAAAATGGTTTGATAAAAAGATTGTTGCATGCATCTGGATCTGTTTGTTTATGTTAACTTGGCTATAGAATCTCTAAGGCCGGTAAGGAAAACGGAGAGAGAGCTAGACATGATAGTTGCAAACAGACATGGATCTCTCAAGTAGTAAAAAAATATTAGTTGAGACATCAAAAGGGCTTCAACATCACATTCATCCTCACCAGCAAGAGTATTTTCTCTTACCAAAAACTAACAGTAACAGACATGGTTGAAAAAATAAACACATTGGACTTTAGCTCACATGTAAACTTTAGAATGCAACAAAAACCGTAAAAATTAAACACACTGCTCTTTACCTTGGTGATTTTCAGTATATGTTGGTGAAATGGTTTGAACTCTCTTCTTTTCGAATGCTCTATCGATAGTGGAGTCAAGGTGTTGTTTTCTTTGAAATCGTCTCAAGAAAGGATGCAAATAGAGATGACTCGCTACCACACGGAACTCCAAATTCATCAATCTACAATTCGATCCTTTTGCTTGCATCCATGTTCCATAAATCTTGCACCCTCGTCCATCCTCGTGTCTTATGGGTTTTGTCGTTTTCCCCTGCCACCAAATTACATACTAATTATTCCGATATATGAAATTCCACGTGTATTTTTATATATGAAATTATCTTAGCTCTAGTCTTATGACGTACTTCAGAATTCACCATGAGATCAAGATATCGCTGACGATACCGTGTTTCCTACTCAATCCAGGATGCCAAACTTCAGCTTTCTGCTTGCGAAATATGAAATATGTCATCAAGCTTAGACTGAGGCTATAGCAGAATCACCATTAATGACATATTCCACTTACCTTCACACCAGCATTATCAGAACCCGAGGAAGCTTTCTGTCACAACATCATATGAAGACAACGAGAAGATAAGGAATTGACCAAATTGAGGAATCATTTAACAACAGGAAGAAAACTAATATCAACACTATGTGTTAATAGAAATGGAAATCCAATGACACCAACAATGCCCCCAAGTTTCACAGCAAAGTGAAACCTTGAAAAGTCAGCTTCCTCCATGTCAAACTTGCTGAATCATATGATACAAAAACTCAATTCTTCAACATGATATAGATAAAAGCAATTGTTCAATCACAAATGACATAAAACAAAGAGGCTCAAACATATCAGCCGAAAGGATCATGCACAATACAAAGTTACCATGTCAATAGAAAAACAACATACAACTAGATGACGAAAAGCATCCTCCATTGATGCACCTATTAACCCCCATAGAAAATGTTAAAGAAAACAGGATAAAGTGAGCAAACAAAAGCTTCAAGGGCAGAACCTTGCGTCAGTCATTACTTGAACCTTCGCACCACCGCCATGCAGATCATTGAAGAAGAGTTTTGAAGAGGACAAACATTTATTCATGATCTATCTTGAAAAATCAATTACAGAAAAAGAGTCGAGCAAGGTGAATCTCAAAAAAAAAAAAAAAAAAGAATAAACATATTAATGGCAGTTCAATACCAACCAAAGATTCAGATGGATCTTCAAGATGCTCTCCATTGTTCAGGCTCCCAAACTTGTCTACATACTCATCAATGGTTAGGGTGACAAAAAACCTTGTGAGGATAAGGATTTTTCCCTTCAGTCTTCTGTACTTCAAGATACCTGATTCTATTCTCAAATTATTGCTACAAGAGAAGATAGATATGTTCAGAAAAGGAGATAATATACAAAATATGTGAGAGAACATGTACTAGCAAAGCAAAGCCAATAGCATGGGGTCAATATCCTCTTCACCTTCCCCCAACCTATTGAATCCATGAGACCATATGAATGGTCATATCTTCAATTCATCAAACACAGTAGAGTGAGATAAGAACATAAACACAAGTGCATTGGAATTTGCAGAAACTAATAACGATTACCATTGGGGTAGGTTCCACTACTTTGACATTTTTACAATAGTAATATGGGCAAGATATCCCATCTCATCCTATCAAACCCAGAAATTAAGTGAATATGCCGCATAACAAATCATTTGAACCTCAAAAATCATGCTAAAGAGTAAAGAATCTCATCACCCCTCCAATAAAACCAGAGTATGCATGGCAGCTAAAGTAGCACAAGAAGAGGGCAATTCCTATTCTTCTCTAGATCTTATTTACACAATAATTATTACCATGTCTTGGTTGAGGCCAGAAGTATTCAAGATCACATCATCATCTCCCAAAAAGAAGCCATTGATCAAACGACTCGTCTCCACCGTCAGTGGCGAACCCAGGATTTTTGAAGAGGGGTGTCGCCTAATGAATGAGTATTGATTATAATTATTAAAACGGTGTCAAAAATCTCGTATTAAAATTTTTTGTACAAAAAAATATAGGTTCTTCACAAAATTGTCGGGCGAAGGGGTGTCGGACGACACACCACGCAACACCTAGGTCCGCCCCTGTCCACCGTCAAGAAGAAACTCTACCTCCTCCGCTTTCAACGGTACCCATGCCTCAGCTCCTGGCAGGAAGAGCCAAACACCACGTCCACCCTCCCGACCGTCCTCTCTGCTGGCGCTGCTCCTGCCAACAGTTTTTGTCATCATCGGCGGAGTTGAGAGAGGTAAATGTTGGTAGTGATGATGATCTGCAAGTGGATGAGAGTGCAGAGCAGTTTATAGGGAAGATGAGGGCCATGAACATAGAGCGAAGCTAAGAGCTACAAACACTAAGAAATTTTATCTGTAACCTAACTAGCATGAGCTCGTTGGCGCGAGGGAGGGAAAACAAAGCGAGGAAAGCAGAGAGCGAGCCGGGGAGGGAGACAAGGAAGAATATTAACTTTAGCCTGTCAACCTATAATCGAGCGATATCGAACAATCGCATGTCAACCTAATCGGGCGAGGAAGGTTGGAGAATCGACAGCCGGAGTGAGCGAGGAAGATTGGAGAATCGCCGGACTGAGTAAGCGAGGAAGATTGGAGATCCGATGGCCCGAGTGAGCGAGGGAGATCAGAATCGCCCTTTAGTCAGGATGAGTGAGGAGGGAGATCAGAACCGTTTTTTTTTTCTTTGGACAACTTTGGGTGTCGTTTTTTTGTATTTTGAATTGCTAAACAAATATTTCAGCTGGAGAAATGGAGGAGCGGATGAAATTTGGTTGTCTATAGCAAGGGTTTTTTAACCCTTGAACCAAAACATTGGTACAATAAATTCTGTAAAAAGTAGTAAGGGGTTTGAAACCCCTGCTACAAAACCCTTGGCATAGGAGCTTTTTTTTGCAGTGACCGCCGACCTCATCCACTGTCACTGATGTCGTCTTCGCCTCCTTTGCTCGCCTCTTCCGGTGTGTGTCCTTCTGCTACTATACTCTTTCACTCCTCCCCTTCGTTTTTCAGATATGTGATTTTTGGATTTACGTATCTGATTTTTTCTTTCTTTCTAGTGGTAGTGATTTTCTTCTGGTAGTGGTACCAAATGATTGTGGTCACTACCACTACCAGCTATCTGTAGATGGTAGTGGTAGCGCTGTACTGGTAGTGGTACCAATGGTAGTGGTAGCGTATCACTAGCGCACTGACGGAGTGATAATTTTTTGCAGGTGGCCGGAGCGATTATGATTCAAATTTCGCCGAAGAAAGTCTGTCGGTCGGAAAGTCAGCCGGTCGGAGTGGAGTGACTGCTGGAAAGAAAGAAAGAGATAGGAAGAGAGAGAAATGTATTTATTGTAGGATTTAAATTAAAAAAAATATATATTTAATATGAGTTTTTAATTTCCAATTTGTAAATAATACAAAAAATTATTTAATAAATTCATTTTTTTGTCATACCCAAAATGCCCTTGGTTGTAAATCTCACAACCTCTTACAGGAAGTGAGCCGCCCAGAAACTATCCGCTCTTTTTTGCACTTATAACAACCATCATATGATTGGAAATTTGAAATCCGTATGATTTCAAAACATTATAAAGTTGAAATTATAAAACACAGTGAGGGCAATATATGTTGTCCCCGCCACATCATTGTCTGTGTTTTGATATTCCCAAAATATCCTATATTAATATATATATATTGGCTACTTCGGCGCACTCATTTTTTTGGGTGTACTCAGTGCACCCAACTCTAAAAGTGTCCATAATACATCAAATTTTGAACTTTAATTAGTACTCTCAATCTAATATGATGATATGACATAGAATCATAACAAATCAATCTAATACCCTAACCCCTTAACCTTCAATTTTGAATCCCAACCCAAAATCCCAAATTGTAAACCTAAACCCTAACCCTAAATCCCTAAATCCCAAATCCTTCGAATTAAAGTAAATTTTGAATGATTTGTTTTTCAAATTCATGTGCTTATTGTTCATAATATCATAAGCAACAATTTATACAATTTTGACATGAATCGCATGCTCAGAATACCAATTATGAGGCAGGTGTACTGAGTGCACCCAAAAAAGTGAGTGCACCGAATAGACCAATATATATATATATGGGGTGGTGTCTTCGGTGCACTCACTTTTTTGGGTGCATTCAGTGCACTCGCTTCATAACGGTCATTTTAAACATGCGATTTATGTCAAAATGATGTCAATCATCACTTATGATGTGATGAACAATAACGCACATGAATTTGCACAAAAACCATTAAAGATTTACTTTAATTTGAAGGATTTAGAGTTAAGAGATTTAGGGTTAGGGTTCGGGTTTACAATTTGGGGTTTAGGGATAGAACTCAAAATTGGAGGTCTAGGGCTTAGGATAATTCGCTAATTAGTTGTTAGCATATGTTATATCATCATATTACACTAATTCTACAAATTAAAATTCAAAATCTGACACCTTAAGACTAGTTTTTGAGTTGGGTGCATTGAACACACTCATTTTTGTGAGTGCACCAAAGTGGTCACCATATATATATATGATTTTAATTACGGAAATGTTATACAAGTGAAGATAAGAGATAATTAAGATACGAATCAAGAGTTCTCCGTTAATTTCCAGGATACAGATGGGGTGCTAAGCGCATCCTAGGCAATGCCATGAGTGGTGTGGCTAGTGAAAGATGATCCTCAGCTTCGGCAAGGTTGACAGTCTTGGCATTCTCTGGTGGCGTCCATGCGAAGCACTGTAACAGTCTGGCAAGCAGCATGGTGGTCATACAGGTTCCCAACACTGTCGCCAAACATCCTCGCCTGCCAGTGCTAAACGATATGAACCTAAGATCGTGCTCTGTAAGGGCCACCTCAGCGTCACTGCTATCTCTAAGGTGTCGTTCTGGGTCGAATTTGAGCGGGTCGACCCATACCTTGGGGTTGCGACCGAGACCGTAGCGGCTAAGGAGGGCGTGACTGCCCTTTGGGATAAAGTAGCCACCCACGATGGTGTCTTGGGTGGCTACATGTGGGGCATTAAAGGGTGCCAAAGGGTGGAGTCGGAACGCCTCTCTGGCACATGCCTTTACATAATTTAGCCTCCCGATGTCTGACTCTTGGACCAGTCGCTTGTCTTTTCCCACAACCTTATCGATTTCATTCGTCGCCTTTGCCATGAGATCTGGTTGGTTAATCAGCTCTGCCATTGCCCACTCCACCGCATTCGATGGGTTGTCTATTGCTGCCATCATCAGTTCCTGCACCAATTCAAAAGTTAAGTATGGAAAGAATCATGTACATTTTTACGATCATCAGTTAAATCATAGTCATAAACTAACAGGTCCCAATAAGTTGAGTTGCTGAGAGAGGTCTATTAAGTATAGTACTTAACCAGTTCCTTACACACTCCTTCAAACAAAAGCCAACTCATGGAATTGAAATTTGCAGAGGCTCATCATACCATCTGCTTTAAGACAACAGTTAATATTGATGGTTGTGAGGACTTGAGCAGGTGACAACCTCTTCATTAACAAATCAACTCTGATACAATGTCATAAATCAACTGATCTTGATGACTCAAATTCTTGTGAGAGGGTTGTTTATGGATCATTTCATATACCATGCAATCAAAGGATATGGTGTTTGTTTGTGGTTTTCATACCGTGGCTTGATTCTTGATTTCATGAGGAGTGAGCAAGGGTTCCCCGTGATCATCCTTGAGAGTGATAAAAACATCAACCAAATCCTCCATCTCCTTCCTCTCTCCACTCCTCCACTGCCGGATCCTCTCTTCAATAATAGGGTTTTGATAACGTTTGATGGTCTCATCCGCCTCTTTAATGACCTTCTCCTTCCCGTCGACGTCCCAACCCCGCAAACAGGGGAAGTAATCCGATAAGCACGACCAATACAAGTAGTCCAATGCTGCAAACACCGCATCCACATGCAACACTTCCATCGGCCCCGGTCCTCCATCCGCCGTGGCATTGCCGAAAAACCTGTTATAGTATGAACAGTATCACGTATGTGTTAGTAGATGATATAAGATGTATAATTGAATATCTCCAATAACTCGAGTTACAACCAATGCAGTAAAAATCGCACTTTAAAACTTACGGTTTTACGTTTCTAGATCACCAAAATGTTTTCGTTTCCATATAAAATCGTCAATGTATAAAATTAGACTAAACTACGCTTTAAAACTTACACTTCTAGTTCACCAAAACGCTTTACGCTTTTAGTTCACTAAATGACTATTCTGTTCATGAAATTAATTATAAAAAGTATATTTTAAAGGTAAATCACGAACAATATGATAGATTTGAGATTGAAAGATACATACCAAGTACTTGTATGTATTTTCAGATTCAATAGAGTAATCTAATTTACCCGCTAGACCCTTCCCAAATTCATTAACATAAAGAGAAAGGTGGCTTTCAATACATTAATCTAATTCACCAGTTAGACCCTTCCCAAATTCATAAAGGGAAAGGTGGCTTATTGTTAAGATGCTGTAAGTTGTTCTACTTTATATATGAATTGCATGTATTTATTAGGTTATCTAAATTCTTTCGTACTCATATTTTACATAGTATATAGTATATTTCGTAGTTAACAAATTTTTAGTTATTTAACAATATTTTTTTATTTATGCTTTTACGCTTTTGACGGCATTGGTTACAACAGATGTATTTGAGCTCTTGATTTTTACCGTCGTCCGAACATGATCTTCCTCATCACGTTGCCGCAGTAATGCCGCGTGGCGATCCTGAGGTTGACGCACTTCCCGGCCATGCAACGGTTGTGGACGTAGAAGACGAGGTTGTCGGCCTCCTCGTCCCGCTTTTCTTGCAGCCACACGTGCCTGGCCGGAGAGACGATCTCGGAGGCCAGCACCTTCCGCATTTTGCGCCACTGGTCGTTGTAGGGGACGGCGGCGGTGGTGACGTAGCCGCCGCTGACGGCGTGGCTGCCGAAGGAAATGGGGCGGTCGGCGAAGACGGCGTCTTGCTTCCTCAGCATCTCCCTGGCGATGGCAGGGTCGAGGACGGGGATTATGTTGTTGGCGGCGCCGCCGCCGGGGAGGCGGATGAGGCAGATGTCGGTGTTCATCTCCTTCATCACGTCGTGGACCCACCGGAACATGGGCTTGCTGTGGAATATTATTTTCGGGAGGTTGGCGATCACTGACCGCAATGGCGGGCTTGGAGGCGGTGGCGGGTGCATGGCGGCGGCGGGGGCGGCGCGTTTCTTGTTGATGAGGGTTGTGATGATGATGGAGACGAGGATGACAAGGAGGGTGAGGGCGGCGGCGGCCATGGCTGGCTGCCGGCTGATGATGCTGGGAGTGGGAGAGGTTTATTAGCCACTTAATATTAGCTAGCTACTTGTTGCTAGAGCAATTATATTTGCATAGTTTCGTGTTGGTTTAGTTTATATAAAGGCCTAGCTATTAACAATTAGGGTTAAGTATGGAAAATTTTATGTTTGAAAAAAGTGATGCATAATTTTAGGGAATGTCACCAAGGCGAAGCTAGAGTATTTCTTGTAAAATATGAGAAAACACGCTGTTATTGTGCATGAAAACGAACTGGCCGGTATCAATCGGATATGTTTTTAATGAACTCTGTTAGCCGGATAATAGACTTAGATTTCTGGCACCACTTATTTGAATTTGAAAGGTTAGCTGCTGAATTAGATAGTGTAGGGCACTGCGTAGTGATGCAGATTCAAAATTGTGGGTGGATAATTGGGTAGCAAGGAAATGCATGCAACATGCATTGTTGTCGGGAATTGGGTGGCTATAGTACGTACTGGTGACAAACATCGTCATACCGACTGACTGCATGTGTTATTTAGCCAACATTTGGAAACTTTTCCCTTTTAGGAAAGATCACTACATCCTGGGCGTGGAATCACATGCACTAACGTACGTTGGCCAAACTTTTCGGCTTAATTTCTGGTTGGAAGTAGTTTTCATTGGTCCAGGTCTGATCAAATAAAAAAAATAAAAAAAGAAATGCAAGAGTCTTAAGAAATTAAAAAAAAGTGCTTACAACATCACCACCAGAAAAGCAATTGTTTTCACCACATCGTCAAAGACATTGCCCATGCTACCAACGAAACCTATTTCGGTCCTTCGACGGACCGCAATCGCAAAACTGAGTATCATCTTCTCCACCGGAAACGCCCACAAAACACGCTGCCGCTGAGAAGAATCAGAGAATCGGGGGGAAATTGCTCGTTAGAGCTTTCCATTGATGTTGAAGCAGCTTATATACATTAATTACACTTAACGGTAACTACAACTAACAAATGAAATAAACCTATAAGAGCTATACACGTGTAAACTATACAGTAAAGCCGGAACAAAGGCCATTAACCAAAATGGTGCACTTCACTTTATTCTGTCTCTTTGTAAACGTCACCGTATGAGGCTCTGCACCCTTCACTGTTATGCATTCTTCATCAGCAGCAGAGCCTCCAATCCTCTTGACAGCAAGGCTGCAAGATGAATCATCCATCCTCTCTGTTACCCTCCAACAAGCTGGCGAGTATAGATCATATACTCCTAGCTTGGATAACAAAAGAGCAAAGCGATCAATAAACAAGCTTTTTGTAAAGATGTCTGCTAACTGTGATTCAGTTGGAACATGGTGAAGAGAGATCAAACCAGATTGAACATGTTCCCTGATCACATGACAATCCACATCGATATGTTTTGTTCTTTCATGAAAAAATGGATTTTCTGCTATGTGGAGTGCAGACTGGTTGTCACAGAATACCTTGACTGGTTGTTCATGTTTAACTCCAAAATCCTTTAACAACCTGATCAGCCACTCAACTTCACAGCTTAAACTGGCTAAAGCCATGTACTCTGCCTCAAAAGATGACCTGGACACTGTCTTATGCTTCTTGCTCTTCCAAGTAACAATTCTAGACCCAAGGAAAGTGTAGTAGCCAGTAATAGATTTCCTTGAGTCAGGACAAGTGGCCCAGTCTGAATCACTGAAGCCTGTAAGAGTAAGGGTATTTTCCCTTGGATAGAGCAATCCCTGACCTGGTGAATTTTTCAAATATCTCAAAACCCTATGTAAAGCCCTTAGGTGCAAGGAAGTAGGGTTGTCCTGGTGCTGACACAGTTGTTGAACAACAAAGTTGATGTCAGACCTGGTAGAGTGGTAGTAGTAAGGTACTGCAGCTGGCCTACTAGGTGCTTGTACTCACCTATGTTCTTTAAAGGAACACCTCCCTAAGCAGATAGGACTTCTTTCACATAGATGGGTGTAGCAGCTGGCTTGCAGTCTTGGAATCCTGATTCAATTAAGAGATCAAGACAATATTTCCTCTGTGATACAGTGATCCCTTTTACCCCTCTTACAACTTCCAATCCAAGGAAGTATTTCAGTTCCCCAAATCCTTCATTTTGAACTCACCCTTTAGTAAACACTTGGTCCTATTGATTGCCTCTAAACTTATTCTCCCAATCATTATGTCATCTACATACACAATTAGGACAACCAACTCTCCAAGAATCTGAGCAGTAATGATAGAGTAGTCACAGGCAGATTGTTTGAATCCACAACAAGCTCTATGTCAACTTCATATACCATTGTCTGCTTGCTTGCTTAAGGCCATAGATTGACTTCTTTAGATGACAAACTTTCCCTTTTCTAGCTGCCTGATCAGCTAAACATGGTAGTATTTCCATGTAAATTTCTTCAGTTAGATCCCCATTTAGAAAAGCATTACTTACATCCATTTGATACAAGTGCCAACCCTGAGCTGCTGCAACTACTAACAAGGTTTTCACAGAACTTAGTTTGGCTACTGGTGAGAATGTGTCACAATAGTCAATGCCATAAATTTGATTAAAGCCTTTTGCAACTACTCTTGCTTTGTGTCTCTCTATTGTCCCATCATAATGCAATTTAAACTTCCACACCCACTTGTTCCCAATGATCTTCTTTCCGGGTGGTGTAAACTTAATCTCCCATGTCCCACTGTCACAATGAGCTTTCAGTTCATCCTGTGCAGCCTTGTTCCAGTTTGGATCCTTGATGGCTTCCTCATATGAGGTTGGTTCAGTATAGGTAGCAAGTTTGTTTATGAAGTGTTGGTGTTTTGGTGAAAGCTGACCATAAGACATGACTTTGTTAATGGGGTACTGGACATGATAATCATCATGCCAGTTGGGTGGTTTGGTTTTTTTGGTGTACTTTCTTGGAACAAGATGAGTAGGTGATGGGTAAGAGGAGACAATAGGAGTATAATCATGAGATATAGAGGGAGTTGGTGAAGAAGGTAGTGAAAAAGGAATGGGGGAAATAGTAGGAGAGGGCAGTTGATCATCAGAGTGAGATGATGAGTGGGAGGAAGAAGGTAAGGGAGAGTGAGTGCCCCCTGCAGACTGATGATCTGCTGAAACTTGGGACTCATTAGAAGGATTTGCGAAAGGTGGTGAATAGGTAGTAGAAGGCAAGGGAAAAGAAGCAGGTGAAGGAAAGAAATCAGATGATGAAGGATTGGAATCAGAAGAAGGGGAAGCTGCATAAGGAATGATGTGTTCATAGAAATGAACATTATTGGAAATGGAAACTCTCTTGGTTTCTAGATCAAGAAACTTGAAACCTTTTATGCCTACGGGGATCCCAAAAACACACATTGTTTAGCTCTGGGCGTGAATTTAGTTCTGTGGGGTCCAGCAGTGGAAGTATAAACCAGGAAACCAAACACCTTAAGAGTGCTATAGTCTAGAGGGAAGCCATATAACATCTCAAAGGGTGACTTGTTTAAAACTGGAGTTGGCAAATGATAGAGTCGCTCAAGGAGTTGCTTCTTTTATCGCAAAACTATTATTGCTTCTTTGCCAATCGAAAGAGGAAGAGATTGCCATATTGTTCAGGATACATTGTCCATGTCTCTTTTCTCTTTAGCACCCTCTTCTCTTATTCTTGATGAAAAAGCAGGATGAAGCACAAAATCACTCCAATATGACAATGGGAGTCCTGATTGGAACTTAAGAGCCCTGGCAACATTAAGGAGATGTTGATGCTTCCTTTCAACCCTCCCATTCCGCTGGGGTCTCATTTGGTGTTCAATCCCATGTAATTTGTAAAACTCATCCATATGAAACTCTTGTCCCTAATCTGATCTAATAATCTGGACTGATTTGTGAAATTGGTTTTGAACCATAACACAAAAGGATTGCAACAAATTTCTAGTTTCATCCTTAGTTTTCATTAGATAGGTCCACACACATCTACTACAATCATCTATGATTATCAAGAAATAGTTAAAGCCATTGTAAGATTGAGTACTCAAAGGTCCCCAAATATCCACATGTAACAGACCAAACAAAGTAGGATTGACAAAAGAACTGGAATGAAAAGGCAATCTTTTCTGTTGTGCCAAGTGACAAACATTACAATGAAATATATGTGAGGGAATGACATTTGAAAACTGTTTGTGTATAGCTTCTACTCTAGCTATGTAAGGATGACCAAGTCTGGCAAGCCAAAGATCAAAATTCTGAGGCTGAAAGTTGATGTGTGTTGTGTCAAAGCACTTAGGTAGGGAACTGGTAGTGTCCTGCTTGTGATTGAATAGGTATAAACCTTTATCCAACTAAGCTAAACCAATCCTCCTCTGTGTAATAAGTTCCTCTATAACACAGAAAGATGATTTGAACAAGAGTGAGACAAAGTTTGTTTTGGTAAGTTTGCTTACTGAAACCAAATTGTAAGAAAAACTTGGTACATACAGGACTTAGGAAAGAAATAAGTAACAGGGAAGTTTGACAACTCATGTGTGTGGCCTGGATTCTATTTCCATTTGGTAAGTTGACATAAATCCCTTCCAAGGGTTTATATTTCAAAAAGTACTTCAAATGAAAGACTGTGATCTGTTGCCCTAGTATCAAGTACCCAAAGTGGTTCTGCAGTATTGGCTAACAGCGTAGACAAGACTATAGTACATGAGTTGGAAGGAAGGTGAACTGGCTGATACCGAGTCACAACATCATTGGCAGAGTGTCTGGTTGATGGAGATGTTGGTGGAGAAGGTGATGGTGATGGAGATCCCAACAGAAGCATCCTAAGCTTTTCCAGATGTTCATTGCTCAACTTCAAGCTTGCCAATCCATCATCCTTAGCTTGCAAATCTGAGCTTCTTTTCAATGAAGCAGAAGCAGCTAGGACTCCATGTGTACCTTCTGGTTCATTTCCTGTTTCAACTGAACCAGCAAAGCTTCCTCCTCCAACTTCTCTTACTTTCTTGTTTTTCAACTTAAGACATTCAAACACTGTATGGTAGTCCTTTTTGTAACATCTGCAAAACTTCTTTCCATTTTTAAAATCTCTATCACTGGTTTGTGGGTGTTGAGAACCCTGATTGTTGTGGTTTGATGCTGCTGCAAGTGCCACTGTGTCAACTCCCCTGCTCTTGTCGACACATTTCATCTACCTCTCAAGCTGAAGAATCTGCTTGAAGACAACATCAATGCTAGGCAGAACAGGGTTCATGAGCACTTGGGTTTTCGCAGACTGATATGAGTCATTAAGCCCTTGCATAAACTTGATAATGAAGTCATTATCGTGATATCTCTTCAGCACTTCATAAGGACCATTACAGGCACAACTAGGTATGGGACTATATCTTTTATACTCTTCCCACAACACAGTGATATCAGAAAGTATTGAGTGACTGATTTCTCACCCTGAACACATTTACCTAGTAGCTCATTAAGATCATAAACCCTCATATTATCTTTCTGGCTAAAGTGATTCTTCAGGTTATCCCATACATCCTTAGCATTCTCTAACCTCATCACACTATTTGCTATGTCTTCTGCTAAAGAATTATAGATCCAACAGCGAATAGTTCCATTGCATCGATGCTAGGATTGGTCAATGGGATCTGTTACCCGAGGAACTGGAATTTTTTCATCTATGAACGAGATTTTGTTCATAGTAGCGAGGGAAACCAACATGACTTGACTCCAAGTGTGGTAGTTTCCATCGCCCAATTTGATGGAAATGATTGTTGGCAAAGTGCCATCTTGTGGTGGTAAGTAGTAGGGATTTAGGTATGGGTCTTCATACTGGGGAAAGTTCGCCATGGTTGATTTCCCGGAGTTCTCTAAACCAGATCCAGATTTGGTTGTGTCATCACCAGATCCAGTAGCCATCGTCTTTGGTTAGGGTAAGAAAAGTGAAAGGTAGGAGAAGAAAGGAGGAGGGATGAAGTAATACGACCCTGAGGGGGGGGGGTGTATTTTTACCAAAGTCACGCAACAATCAATCAATCCGAAGATTGATTGAACTCGAATCAAGAACAATGCGTTCTTAATACGAAATTGGGATAAAGCGGAACCAACAGACAATTCCACACCTGGGGAAAGCTCGTATGGTATAAAAGGGTAGCTGCTCGACCATGATTGAACAGAATATTCAATCGATACAAAGCTCACAAGCTTGGGATCCACCAAATTCAAACAAGTCGCAACTTGCACAAAACCAAAGGGTTTGCTTTTCGATTAATCAAAGTATTGTGTTTTTACAACGTAAATAGAAGGCTATTTATAGCCAAGAAAACATAATACAAACCTAATGTAACTAGGAAACAATTCAGGTAAAAAAACTCTAAAAACATTGTAAAACTTGGCCACAAACTTCATTTCTTGCCGCACAAGTAAGCTGCCAGCAAAACAGTCAAAATGCAGCTTTCGTACTAACTTCACGCCTTTCGTTCAAGGCCTTCCCGAACTCCAATTCCTCATCCAATTCCTTCCCTTTGTTCAAAAATATACCTAGTTTCATGTTGTGGAAGCCTTTTGACTTAAATCTCATCCATGCTCCTTGAATTGAGCTCCAACGTAGGCTTCACAAAATAGTTTTCTACCTTAGCCATTTTCTGGCAGTTTTCTAGTTTTGAGGTAGCAACTTTGAGGCCTTGGAAAACCACCTTAATGACATCATCTGGATCCAAAAAGCATACCATTGGAAACATGTCAACTGTATACTTAATACAAGCCCTTGACCTCCAATTTTCATTGAGCCATTTGTGAGATACAAGCTTCCAAAGCAGGCTACCTGAAACTGTTTCAACACTTGGCCAAAAATCAGAATTCTTCAAGTGAGTTGAGATGACTTCTTTGGCAAGTAATTATAAATTGTGAATTGATCCAATTGGGATCATATCATGAAGTGTAGGAGAATGAAAGGAGGCACTGAAACCCTAGTATTGAGAGCAACCAAACTCTGATACCATGAGAAGAATCAGAGAATTGGGGGAAATTGCTCGTTAGAGCTTTCCATTGATGCTGAAGCAGCTTATATACATTCAACTAATTACACTTAACGGTAACTACAACTAACAAATGAAATAAACCTATAAGATCTATACACTTGTAAACTATACAGTAAAACCAGAACAAAGGCCATTAGCCAAAACAGTGCACTTCACTTTGTTCTGTCTCTTTGTAAACGTCACCGTATGAGGCTCTGCATCCTTCATCTATTCTTCGTCAGCAGCAAAGCCTCCAATCCTCTTGACAGCAAGGCTGCAAGATGAATCAACTTGCCTCTTTGTTAGCCGCTAACATTAATCCTATAACGGCGGATTTCATCATCACTAGCGAAGTGCATTTCCCCATTGTTCTTACTTGCAAATTAAGGCGAGCAGACAGATGTATGTATATACATTTACATGGCAAAATGAGACAAGCTAGCAGTCGGCATGTCTAGACGGGCGAATCTTTCGACCGCCCAATAAGCCAAGAAACGGTTAAACAGAAGAAAAAAATCCAGCTTTTCAGTTGCCGCCGACACGACACTTGGTACATTATATGAAATCAAAGTTGGTTTGATCACATGGTTGTGTTTTCAAATTAAATCTTTGCAACTGTCAATATTAATAGTTGATTCAAGCACACAATATGGTAGTTCTGTGCAAACTTCAAATCCATATATAAATTGGCTTTCGTTTGAAAGTGCGTGAAGTGGTTAAGATCCATACACTGACCTTTCTAAACAACTCGAGTTATGAAACCAAATTTTTATAAGCATAGTTAGTAAATACTCCGTTTAATACACACATATGACCTCGTACGTATTTTATCCGTTTAAAACTTCTGTATCAGTATTATTGTACAACTGTTTCATTTTTTGCGGTTCATTTGATGATTCCCATACTAAACACGTATAAAATTCGTATAACACGTTTAATATCCATATTTAATAAATTATTAACTTTACTATTATTTATATATATTTATTATTAAACTAATTATTTTTATACTTTTATGACTATTAACGTACTATTAAATGTAGGATTAATAGACATACAAGCCTCTCAACTATGACAAGTTAACAAATGAGCCCCTGTACTATACTTCTAACGAAAGAAGCCCCTCAATTATGGTTTGATAATAGATAAGCACTTCCGTTAACCTTCTCTGTCAACTAACTTGAAATAGGACACGAAATTTCTATATTGCCCCCATTGTGATATATGTTTAATAAAGTCAACTTTTAATAAGAGATATAATTGTCTAAAAAAGGACTTTATAATTGAGGGGCTGGGAAAGCAGCACGCAGAAGCTCCGGGATCCGGTCAAAGCGGCGAAGATCATATTCCAAGTTTGAATTTCTTCCTCGCCAACTCCCAGTCCCTCCACATAGGCCGCAGATTTTCGCTGCTCCCTGTAAACGAGGAGTCGAGCTCGAGCTCGGGAATGTCTACCTCACGTACCCCATGAGGTGGGCCAGCACCATTCGTTCTTCGTGGCGACGAACTCCGCAGCCAAGCGGATCGGCGGGGGTTGGAGGAGGGGTCAGGATCTATCCGCTGGAGATGGAACTGGATCAGATGAGCGACGGAGGAGGAAGGAGGAAGAGTTTGGAGGAGATGTCGGAGGATTTGTAGTTTCGCGGGGAGTTTAACCGCAAGTTGTCGATTTGTGGCCAAGGAGGCTGATGCTACAGACGATTAGAGAAGAGTCAGTGAATCCGGTGTTTTCTAGATGATTAGAGAGGGCAAAATAAAAAAGGAAAAATTCGGTGCAGCGGGCGGTGGCGACGACTTCCTTCTTTAACCTTTATCAGTGGAAGAGGTGGGGAGTACCCAGATTGCAGCACAAACAACCAGAAAATGGCAAGCATACTGCAAAAGAAAAAACCTAGATGAATAAAGGATTAAGAACTTAAAGTTCAAAGATTCGTGGAAGAAAGTGCTCACGGAGCCAATTTCCATCCACACATAATCCAATCCATTGACAAATCGCAATTCTCCTTCTTGTCCATATAGGCAAAGGCTGAATTAAGTCAACTTTATTAAACGCATATCACACTAGGGGCAATTTAAACATTTCAGACCCTAAACATTTCATGTTAATTGACGGAAAATGCTAACAGATGGGCTTATTTGTTATCAAATCATAATAGAAGGGGTTCTTTCATTAGAAGTATAGTACAAGGGCTTATTTGTTATCTTAGCATAGTTGAGGGACTTGTATACCTATTAATCCTTAAATGCATCATTAACTTAGAGACGAAGTGATATACATGTACGTATTTATATGTAACTTTCTCGTACTGTATTTCTCCCCCGATAAGCTCTGAATTTCATTAAGCTCAACTGGACCAAGCAAGAATAAAAAAATACAAGTTTGGTGAATCCCACCACCTGCATAGTAATTGTTATCTCCCACGCCTACGCAACTGAATCTCCCAATTGCTAAAACATGAAGAAAAGAAAAGGCAGCAGCAAACTCTGGCCTACCGACTCCGTAAAGAAAAACATCAGACCTAAAAGCATCAATAAACTTCTCAGCAGAAGTCAACTTGCCTCCAAAAATCCTGCAACACCTTTCCCGCCAGATCGCAGCTAGCAACCAACACCAACAGAAGCCGATAAATTGTCCCTGTGGAGTAGGGATGACAATGGGTCGGGTTGGGTCGGGTTTTGCCAAACCCAAAATCAAGCCCATGGGTTTATTCGTGAAAAAAACCTGGGGTAAAACCCACTGGGTTTGGAAAACTCAAACCCAGCCCAACTCGTTGGGTACCCGCGGGTTCATGGGTACCCATGGGGTTTTTGTCGTAATAAATTTACAATAACAAGTTCCTATAAAAAAAAGTGAAATATCAATCTCTCAATATAAATTATCCATATATAAAACACCATTCTAGAAAATCCAAGCAAATCACAAATTAACCATACAAATTGTTCAACACCAATCTAGAAATCTCAAGAAAATTGAAGCAAATCACAAATTATCCATAAACAACCTGATTAATTGAAAGCTTCTTCCTCCTTGTCAATTAAGTTACTTCACTCTCCACTCGATAATATCAACTTCATTATACACAATTAAAAAGAAAAAATTAGACATGTCTCCACAAAAACATAAAGAAGATTAGTTGCTTAGAATATTAAATATATCGAGAAAATTAATTATATGGGTGTGGGCGGGTACCCATGGGGCGGGTATAGCTAAACCCAGACTCAACCCGGTGAATAGTGAACGGGTTGAAACCCAAACTCGATGCAAAACGTGTCAACACGGGTTTTATCCGCAGTGACCGGGTTGGGTCGGGTATAGTACCCGTGGGTTTGGGTTTTGTTGCCATCCCTACTAGGAAGTAGCCTTCCACATATCAATAGCAGCTCCAAACTAAACATCCCAAGTATAATCACCTGGCATATGACAACCCTGCAAAACAACATTCGCCACTCTCCCCGTATAATCACAGTCAAAGAACAAGTGCCCTCTGGATTGAGACCCCCTAGAGCAGAGCACACATCTAGGATCCACAGTTCTACCCATACAATTAATTTATCTCGAGTCACAATCCTATCCTTAATGACAAGCCAGGAAAGAAATCGATTACTAGGAATAGAAAACTTTGCCCACAATAGATGCCAGCAAGACACAACAGGCTGCTTACTTCGCAAGAAATTTCATAACACTGTAATTTTATATTTCACCATAATCTTGCCTTCCCAGGATACTTATCCCTGGCCTCTTCGGTCAATCTCTAATAAAACCATGGACGAACTTTAAGTACCTTCTTCCAGATCCAGGAGCCACTTTGAGTTTCTTTCAAATTCCAGAAACGTCTCCCCTTAAGTTTGTATTTGTAGGCCCATGCTACCCTGAAAACCCACCTTGCATTAAGAGAAGCCATATCAACTTCCCGGCAGATGCAACGTTCCAAACAGTAAGGTCCTTAAATCCCAATCCACATTAGCCCTGCCCGATTCATTGACATGCGACAGAAAATCTAAGCAAAACTTCATTGGAAAACATATATACACATTTAGATATTCAATCTCAATTCTTGCAAAGAGAAGTATAAGCATGTAAACTGTATCTCACAACCATCCAGTGTAACTTCTGGAAAGTATACGGTGCAAACATGACAAAACTGATTAATTAATTATCAATCCATGTAATCAACCAACGACAACTAATCCATTCCAAATCATTAGTCACACATATACACAACGAACATATATACCAATATATATCATCCATGCTTATATGTG